ATTGTTTCAACTGTATATTTTAGTAGTTACCTATACTTACATTTTTGTGCAACCACTCTTCAGCACTATTTTTATCTTGCAAAACTTAAATTCTCTACAGCCATTATATCACTCCCCTGGCAACAACCATTCTACTTTCCATCTCTCTGAATTTTCCTTTTGTTGCTGTTTTCTGTTTTTGTTTTTGTTCTTGTTTTTGTTTTTTGTTTTTTCTTCCGGTACCAGGAATCGAACTCATGACCTTGTGCTTGCCAGGCAGGCACTGTGCCGCTGAGCTAAATCCCCAGCCCCTGTTCTTGTTCTTGAAACAGGGTCTTGCTGTATAGTTCAGGCTGGCCTCAAACTCACTGTGATCCTTCTGTCTCTGCTTCCCAAGTGCTGGGATCACAGGCATGCCACCACCATACCTGGCTTGTTATAGTGTTTTTCATAGAAGCTGTACATAGTGCTTTATACCTTGCTTTTTCCACTCAGTGATACATTTTGAAAACTTACCCATGCCACTATATAAAGATCTAATTCACTTTTTTTCAAAAATAATTTTTGAAGTATAATATATGCACAGAAAAGGCACATATAATAAATGATTAAATGTTATAAGTTTAACCAGATACTCCATTTGGGAGTATATATATATATATATATATATATATATATATATATATAAATTGGAATGACAGAGTCAGGTGTCATGGTACACACATGTAATCCCAGCACTTAGGAGGCTGAGGCAGGATTGCTGTGGGTTCGAGGCCAGTCTGAGCTACACAGTGAGTTCAAACATGGCCAGAACTACATAGGTAGAATCTTTCTGTCTCTGTCTCTCAAAAAAAAAAAAAGGAATGATATAGAGAATAGTAGTATGGCTGTTATGGTTTGTGTCTAGATGTCCCCCCAAAACCCCATGGGCTTTTAGATGAGGGTTTTTTGGCAGTAGCTGAATCTAGAGTTTATGATTGAGTCGTGGTTCAATGCTAGGATTAAAGGTACTGGGATTAAGGGTGAGTGATTGCTAGATCACTCCGCTGATTGGATTGGCACCGCCCTAATTCAGGTAGACTGGATGCACTATAAGAAACAGAAAGAGGCTTATCTCTTCTCTTCTCTTGTTGCTTTTGCTGTCTTTCCCCACCATGAACTGGTGCCCCTCTGCTATGCCACCCTGCCTTGGAGTCAGCTGTTTATGGACTAAAACTTCCACAAACTGTGAGCTAAAATAAACCTTTGCTCCTTTAACTTTAAGAGTCCTGTATTTTATTTCAGCATGAGAGAAAAGTAACTATGACAACGCCCCTGCACAAAGATGGCACACAAGTTTGTGGAGCATTCCATAGTTTTTATTGCAGTTTCTCTTCTATGAGAAATCCAATTATAAGTAAAGAGTAAAAGGCGGACCTTTTAGAGTAGGGAAGTAGATTCAGGGCAAGGGAGAGTACAGGGCCGTGGTGGCGAACCTATGGCACATGCGTTATTATGTTTCTCTTTTAAGAAAAAGATGTTAACGTAGGAGTTTTTTTTAAAACACTAAAACCTCAGTATTCGGGTTTAATGCCAGTGTTGGCACTTTGAGATAAATAAGTGGGTTCTGGGTTACAGTTTGGGCCCTCAGTATCTAAAAGGTTCGCCATCACTGGAGGGGGAAAAAGGGGATTAAATATATCAAGATAATATACATATGTATACCCCCAAAATAGCATAATTTTTTTGTGTGTTTTTCTGAGACTTGCTATGTAGTTTATGCTGGCCTTGAACTCACTATGTAGCCCAGACTGGCCTAAACTAACAGTGATCCTCCTGCCCAGCTTTCAGATTGCTGGGATGAGAAGCTGGATGACAAGCACGTGCTACCACATTAAGCTATGAATGTAAATGTCTTTTTTTTTTTTTTTTTTTTTTGGTACCAGGCATTGAACTCAGGACTTTGCACTTGCCAGGCAGGTGCTGTGCCACTGAGCTACCTCCCCAGCCCATAAATGTTTTGTTTTGCAAACATATAACAAACACAAAAACAAAAGTACCTTAGGGAGGTTTGGTTGGATGTGCCTGTCATCCCAGCTACTCAGGAGGCTCAGACACGAGGGTCACAAGTTTGTTCAAGACCAACCTGAGCAACTTCGTGAGAATTTGTCTCAAAATTTTAAAAGGGTTGGGGCTGTATCTCAGTGCTAGGGCACTTGCTTAGTATGCATAAGACCCTGAGTTCTATCCCTGGTACAAAAAACAACAAATTGTCATAAAACTATTACCTAATCTATCCCTTGTGTGCCAGTTTTCCCAGTTGTTCCAATAACATGCTTTGCCACCATTTCTGCTCCATCCAGAATCCCATGTGGTATTCACATGTCATTGCCTCTTCAATCTCCTTTATTCTAGAACAGGCCAAGCCAGGCACGGTGGTGCACACCTGTAATGTCAACACTCAGGAGGCTGAGGCAGGAGGATTGCTGCGAGTCTGAGGCCAGCCTGGGCTACAAAGTGAGTTCAAGGCCAACTTCAACTGCATAGGGAGACCTTGCCTCAAAAAGATTAAAAAGAAAACACACACACACACACACACACACACACCATACAACAGGCCAGCCGGTACTGGGAATGCATAGTAGGACTGCACTTCATCACACTGAGCTTTAACCCACAGCCCTTTTTATTTATTTTAAGACAGAATCTCACTGAGTCCCTAAACTGCCCAGGCAGGGTTTGAACTTGGGATCCTCGTCCCTTAGTGTCCAGAGTAGCTGGAATTATAGGCGTACAACAACTCTGTCTGGCTTGGGTGATGCATTTTTGACAGGAAAACCACAGAAGCGACACCACCTCCTTCTCACTGCGTCTTCACTTCTCAGATGGCACATTTGTCCTAACTGATTTGTCCCATGCTGGTGACATTAACTTCTATCAGCCGGTCAGGGGAACGTCTGCTAGTTTTTTCCATCACATTATTTTTTCCCTCTATGAGTAATCTGTGGGAAGACACTTTGAGACTAAATAGTAGACTGCTTCTCCTCAACACTTTCCCTGGATGGTGTAGCCTCCACTGCAGATCCTTTTTGGAGTCTCATGTTTAACATTCCAGGCTCTTCAAAAACTCGGAGAAGCTTGGGCTTCTCTGGACCCTGAGAGGGGTGGGTTAAGGGGACTGTACAAGACTGATGGTAGCCAGAGAGCTCTAGCTGGATGCAAATTCATCTCTACAGTGGCTGAGGATGATTAGGGACCCACAGAGCTCAGCAATTTGGGGAAAAACTGAGGTGAGGAGGAATTCATGCCCTCATCCCACAACTATGTAAGGAAGGCCGGGTTTGAGCCAGGCACTGTTTTAGGCCCTGAGGCTCAGCAGCGAACAAAAGAGATCAAATCCCAGCCCCACTGGAGCCGAGGCTGATGGGAGGATTGAAAAGAAATACACAAATGAAAGAAGTACTGTACATGCTATGTTTCATTATGATCGGGAAAGACAGCTAGAGCCCAGGAAGGAGATAGTGAGTAACAGGACATCCCTCCTGCGCAGAAAATCCTGCTCCCTTTCCCTCTCATCTCCCCTCCAGTGGGTCTCTGTGTCTGTCATCTGCCAGAAACTCCGGCTGAGCCAAGTGCACTCACAGACACCATCTGTTCTCCCCGGGAGTGGGGCCTGTGCCAGCTCCGGCGTCTGGACTCTTGGCACCGTGCCCCGGAGCCCTGAGCGAGGGAACTCCGCCTGGCCCCGCATCAGGCTGGGGAATCCTCTCGTCTGGCCAGATGGAGGGCTTCTGAGAGGGGAAGTGCAGGGCAAGCTGGGTGGGTGCCTTGAAAGAGGTAGGGGCTCAAAGGGTGAGGAGAGTCCCCCCAGTCCTCCTGATGGAGGTGAACGTGAATAGCAACCTTCATAAACACTTCATGCACCGTCAGAGGGCTCACATCGCACCCCACTGGGTACTCATACCTAGTCTAAGCACTTTATGGATGTTATCATATTTAGGAGGCAGGAATATTCCTCCATTTTTCAGACGAAGAAACGGATTCAGAGAGGTGAAGCCACTGTGCCGAGGTCACACAGCAGGGGCCTTGATGAGCCTGGAAAGGAACCAGGTCTGGGTAGATCCAATCCTTTACTTAGGAACATCACCTTTACCCCCTGGGGATCAGTGCAGCGCTGCCTACTGGGCCCCACCTCTCAGGCTCCTTTGCTGGGAACCCCTAACTCTGCCGCCGTCCTCTTCTTCCCCTCCTCTTCCTTCTGTTTGTATTGTTTTGGTTTGGTTTTTCCAGACAGGGTTTCACTATGCACGTATGGCGAGCCTCCTGCCTCTGATTCCTCCCCTCCCCTTAGGTCAGCAAGGAACCCAGCCCTGGGTTACAATCGGCCGGTCCTGGTACCAGTTGTTTACCTTAGCCGCTGAGCCTCCGTTTCTCCATAAAAGCAGAGCTACTGAGATAAAAGCAGAGCTACTGGGAGCGATGACCACCGTGAACGCAAAGCACTGAACATAGGGTCTAGGCCTAGTCTGCGGGCTAGCGGTGTGCTCTTAGGCAAGTTACCTAACTTCTCTGCGCTTCTTCCCTGCTGCGTAAAACAGGAAATCAATGACAGCGCCTTTCAGGACTGTTCTGAGGAATACATGTGAACGTGTGCCTGTAAAGCACTTTGTGGGCACACAGCCGTAGTTGCTGTTATTATTATTGATTGTTATTGGGCAGCAAGGGTTGTGGGTGGGGAGGCGGGGCCGAGCCAGAAAGAATCAGGGACGCCCCCTCCTGCAGGCCGCAGCGCTTGGGCCTGGCTGCGGGGGAAACAGGGCAGACGCTGGGACCGGGTTCAAAGCCCCTCACCAGCTCCGCCGCCGAAGGGCGGGGCCAGGAGCACTCGCCCCGCCCCCTCCCGCCCCCTCCCGCCCCCGCACGCTGCGGCCAGGGGCGCTGAGACCCGAGCAGAGCGCACAGACCCCGGACCCCCGGCCCGGCCCCGAACGCCGGCATCGCTGGGTCTGCGCAGCCCGCAGGCAGTAGGTCAGGGCGGGTGTTGATGCGGGGGGCGTCCGGCAGGTCCGAGCGTCTGACCGTGGGCGGTGAGCGAGGCGAGGAGGTGGGGGGCAGCGTCCAAGCCCAGGGTCCTGGCTTTGGAGAGGGGATGCAAATCTTTGGCGAAGAAATGGGCCCTCTGGAGATTTAGGGTGAGCCGGCAGGAGGCTTGAGGCCCCCTCAGGGGATGTAGGGCGAGAAGAATCTTTCTGGTTGAGTGTGCCCACGTATGTGCGTGCTGGGGTGATTACGGGGAGCGGTGTGCAAAGGAGGATTGGGGTAAACAGGTATCTGGAGAGCTGGCAAGTGTGTGGGGTCGCGGGTGCGAGTGGAGTGGGGAGGGGGGCTGGACCCAGATGCGTGTTTGGGGCGGGCGAGCAAGGGAAGCGACAGGAGCTGCAAGTGAGGCGGCGCGTGGAGGGGGTCCTGTGCGGGTGCGGGGGATGTGTGTGGTTTCCCATACTGAGGATCAGGAGTGTGCGTGCGACGAGGGGCTTGGGATCACTGTGCATGAAGGCTGTGGCCCCAGACCGATGTTTTCTGGGAGCTGATCTTGTCTGGGATCGTGCTCAAGGGCCTTCTGGTGGATGGGGTGGGGTGGGGGTGGGTTTCCCTAAGTGGCAGGGGCCTTAGGCACTCAGGGTGTGCAGGCCTGGGCGGGTGGGTGCTGGTGTGGGCCGGAGTGAGGCGCTGGATGTCACCAGGGATGAGGGGGTGCGTGTGTATACTTAGGAGGGATGTGTGGGCCTGGATGGTAGGGGTAGTTCATGGGGCCAGTGTGTAATGTAGTTTGAAATAACCATGCAACAGGTATGCAGGGGTTTTGCTTGAAAGAAAAGCCCAGAACTGGACAGTCAGACTCCTGAGTTCCCGTCATAACTTAGGTCAACCTTTTATTCTCTGGGCCTCAGTTCCCCTGAGAAATGGGTCTGAGGATCATTGAACTAACTCTTCTCTGCCTGAATTGCTCTCAAGTCAGGGGATGGTTGAAGGTGAGCCCGCTTTTCAACTTGTTTGTCTTCCCTGTGCCCCCAGGAACCTGTCAAGAGTGTCCCCCCAGCCATGGACAGCCCTAGTCTTCAGGAGCTTCAACAGCCTCTGCTTGCAGGCACAGCCTGTGACCCCTCGGCCCAGAAGCCGGGCAGACCTGAGCGGGAGCCCCCCTTAAGAGAAGCAGCCTTTGCAGAGTCTCTGAGGGGCTGGGAGTTCCCACCCCCACCTCTTCCGTCTGTGAGTGCCGGCCTGGGAGAGCCAGGGCCTCTGGACCTCGAGGTAGGAACAGCAGGCTTCAGTGCAAGCCAGGGGAAAGGGCTGGGGTGCAGCCAGCTGTGGTCACATTTGGCAGGTTGGCAGCTGCAGCGCTGTCCTAGGTCTGGAGTCTCTTGACTGTGTGGGAGCTGCTGGGACTCCTGGTTATCCTTCCTGTTCTGCTGCTTTTCTCTCCAGAGTTCTTGTTCATCTTTGTTGCCTGGCCTTTGGCTCTCATACCTCTGATCTCTAACTCCCCTGTTGTCTGCTCTCTCCAGAACACAACACACCTCTAACCTGGGGATCCTGGTCTTTTTTTTTCTGGTACTGGGGATTGAGCCCCAGGGAGTGATGAACTACATCTCTAGCCTTAGGGGTCTTTTTGTTTGTTTTTTTTAAAGAAAGGGTCTCACTAAGTTGCCCAGGCTGCTCTCAAGCTTGCAATCCTCCTGCCTCAGCTTCCTAAGTACCTGGGATTATAAGGCCTGTACCACCACACCTGGCTTCTACGATTTTTTACACTTTTCATCTAGGACTTCAAGAGTTTTCAGCAGGCAGGTTTATCCTAGAAATTTAGGACACTGGGGCATGTTATAATCTCCCTTTTTTGGCAAGTTCCTGTTCCTGATGTTATCTGGCTCCACTTCTTTTTAAACTCAGAGATTACAAGCAGTTGTACGAACCTCTTGAAGAAACTCAAAGCTTGAGTGTGGCTGGGTATCTTTTGGGAGACAAGGCCTGCAACTTCCTTCCAAGAGACCCGAGATCTAGATAAGCTCCAAGCTTACCTCTTTGAATGTTTCTGCACCTCTCAGGAGGCCCTAGAGAAGTACTGGCCTTGGTTATGGGGAACAGAGCGGTGGGAGCCAGGTGTAGTGGTGCACACCAGTAATCTCAGCACTCAGGAGGCTGAGGCAGGAGGACTGCTGCGAGTTTGAGATCAGCCTGGGCTACAAAGTGAGCTCAAGGCCAGCTTGAACTGCACAGCAAAACTCTGTCTCAAAAACAAAACAAAAACAAAAAAACAACAAACAGAAAAACCCGGAGCAGTGGGGAAGGAAGGAGGATGGAGATGCCCACCCAGGCCCTCTCCTGTCCACAGGGCACATCGTCTAGTGACAGTGACTCTGACTGGGATGGGGGTGACCATCTCTCCCCACTTCTACCCCATGACCACCTCGGCCTGGCAGTCTTCTCCATGCTGTGTTGCTTCTGGCCCGTGGGCATCGCTGCCTTCTGCCTGGCCCAGAAGGTCAGTCTGTATGTGGGGCTGGGAGGGTTCTGGGCATAGAATCGAAAAATGTTCCAAGAAAACAAAAACAGACTCCAAGAGGAGTCATGCCTGAGGGCAGTGGGGAAAAGGACAGAGAGAAGGACCTGCAGACACAGGAGCCTTCATGGATAAAGTGAGGCAGGTTTCACAGCCCAGAGTGGTAGTTAAGAATCTGAACTCAAATCCTGGGTCTGCTGTCCTTTGTAAGATATTGGGTAAAAGCTACTTACCTCACCTGTGGCTCTGTCTCCTCTGTAAAATGGGAATAATTCCCACCTCCTGGTCATGTGAGAACCAAGTGAGCTGTAATAGTGGAGTATTTTAAGTAGCATAGAATATGCTTTTATTACTCACCCAGCATCCCTACTGCCCAGCTCAGCCTGATCTGACCCCCAGGAAGCACTCTACGGCTTTGGAATAAGCCAGTGGGTGTGTGGATGGTTATACCAGGTGCGGGAGGACTCGGAAAGGGTCTAGGGGCTGTGGGAACCAAGATGGGGATAAGGGGACGCCTTGGTCACCACTGCCCACTGCCTCTACAGACCAACAAGGCTTGGGCCAAGGGGGATATCCAGGGGGCAGGAGCCACCTCCCGCCGCGCCTTCCTGCTGGGGGTCCTTGCCGTTGGCTTGGGCCTGTGCACATACGCAGCTGCCCTGGTGACCCTGGCCGCCTACCTTGCCTCCCGAGACCCGCCCTAATTGCCTCTCCGGCCCCTGCTGTGAACCCAGAGGCCAGAAGCCCGGAGCACCCATGGGCAGAGAGTGGAGAATCCTGGTGCATGATGTGGCGGCTTCGGCATCGCCCAGAAACAAGCCGGACACCCCTCCCCTCCCCAGCCACCGCTCCCCAGGCCGCCGCAACGTGAGAAAATAAACAAGCTACCCTTGCAGCCATACCCCAGTCTGTCTCTGCATTGGGGGGAAAGGTACCCAAGACCAGGAGGGGTCAGTCAGGGTGACAGCTGTGTGAATTCAGCTGGAAGAATCCGGGCGCAGAAGGGTTTCCACGGGGCAGAATGTTCTCTTCACAACAGCAGTTAGTGAGGTGGGTTGGCAGGCCTCACTCCTCCACCTGGTTGCCGTGTGATCTTGGCCCCAGAGGCTGTGAACAGCCTCGCTTTCTCTCATGGCAAAATGGGGCTGATATTTCTCCACACCTTGAAGAGGAGGAAATGCATCCTCCAGATAAATGGCCGCTCTGCCCCTCCCAGCAGACTCCCCTCAAGCGGCGGTAACCAGCAGGAGGGAGCACTGAGGGAGAACTGGACCTGGGCTCACACGGGGTTAAGTGTCTGTTCTCTGCACCCCTTGGCTTCTACTGTAGCTTCACTCTGTGCCAGCATCACCCTCTTCTTGGGGAAAAAATGGCCCCCGCAGCTCAGGCAGTGCAAGCCCTGCTTCCTAGGTTCTCCTTTCCCTGCCTGGGGCTGGCGGCACCATTCAAATCAAATGGGCCACACATGGCAACAAGGATGGATCCTTCAGGGGAACGTGGAGGCACCGGGCAGGCCAGACGTCAGCACAGAGCTCAGAGGTACCGAGGGGCCAGTCACTGAAGGGGGCCTACCATCAAGGACCAGATGTGCAGATCAGCTCAGTTTTTAACACCACTGCGACTGATCCTGCTACGAAATACTTCTCCCTGCTGTAATGTTCCCCTGAACACCGAATGATATTTGCACATTTCCCTCTTGGTTCCTGGGAACGAGGATGTCTGTCCACTGGGGCAATCAAGTGGCTTCTGTGAACTAGTTCAAGATGGGAAGCACACAGCAGAGGGCTGGACCTGTGAAACCTAGGCCCCTGCGTCATGCCTGCTGATCCCGCCCCCTTGTGGCCCAGCTGTCAGACATTTGCCTTTTGCATTTGGCCCCTGCCCACTAACTGTCCTGGGAGGTGGGAAGTGGTCCACCTACAACTTAAATATGCCTGCCGCATATTTCCAAACACCCCCTAGGCAGTGCTACCACTCCTGAGCACCAGGGAGCCTTGGATGGGGAACTCCCAGTGCACTAGTGTCTCCCTGGGCTTCTCAACATGGTGGGACCCTAGTTCCACAGCAAGTTAGCTGGAGACCTTAAGCAGCTAACTAGCTTCTGAGCTTATGTCATCTTTACGCAGGGACTATACCGGGTTAACAGGCGGGTTAAAGGAGTACTCAGGACCAGATTCCTCCTGTGGCCCCAGAGGCCCAGTGTTTATGCTGTGCCTGTCCCTCCCCCAGACTGGCCCACCTCCCTCTCCTGCTTTGCTCACCCCACGCGAGCCAAAACTGCTGCCTGGCTATCCCATAACCCATGAAGGATCTCCCCCCATGTTACCCAAGCACTCCCTTAGACGTCATCCTGCCCACGAAGGTATCCCTGGATTGTGTTATGTTTGCCCTCCCCAAACTAAGATCTCAAACTTGTTACCCACGGATTTTTGTCATAGCTTTTACCATCATCTGAAAAATACCAATTTTGGGTCCACGGCTCCTGAACACGGGGCCTGGGTCTCTTGTTCACTGGGATTTTCAGCACCCAGGGCTGAGGCCCAACATCACAGGTGCTCAGTGGGCACTGACTCATTCATTCAATACCAGTGAGCTTCCTTTAATGTTCTTATGGAGGGGCGGGGGTCATGCCGCGCTGGCCCACGGATGTCAGGGACCAGGAGTCTGTTGCTAAGACCCATCCCCCAGAGCCCCAGCAGCGATGGGACCAGAAGCCAACATGGGCACATGGGGACAGAGAGAAGGCTGGGCTGCTGGCTTGCTTCAGGCTGAGCCAGTGGGTGGAGGTGATGGTGGGAGCGGCGCCCTGCCCTGGCTTGCTTCAGCTCTTGGAATAGCGCCTCTGCAGTGACTCCCGATAGAAGCGGAAGACGTGCTGTGAGGCAGTCTGGGCCGCAGCCAGGCACTGCTGGAGCTGTGAGGAGAGAGGCCGGTCAATGCTGGGGACCTTGCCCTGTACCCACCCACCCACAGTCCAGCTGGCCTGAGAGGTCCCCCCAGCCCCACAGACTCCCAGACCCCCCAAACCTGCCATCCCCTCTCGCCATCTCAGGTGAGGCAGCTGGTGAGGGGATTATTTGACATGCGCTGGAAAGAACTTAGCTTTGAGGAGCTATGGGGCCTTAGGGCTCACGGAACTGAAGAGATCCTGGGATTCAAAGCTATAGAACCAGAGGCCCCCAGAGCTTTACTGCCATATTCCTAGATTCAAAGGGCAGCCAGGTTAGAAACGTTCTTGGGGATCATTTGGCCCAACCCTTGCAAACTCTGGTCTGTACAGACCCAGAATTCCGCGCAGGCCACTGCTGTGAGCTGGGGGCCGGAGGCCTTCTGCTGCTCTGCCTCTTGCTTTCAAACTGAGCTTCCTCTCTTTTCCTCTCATGCACTGGGCTTCCCTCCAAAATTTCCACAAAGGTTTCCACGGCTACAAAGCCTGAAAACTCCCTCTCTTTTACAGACAGGGGTACAAGGGAGGGGTCCTCCCTAAGCCTCTCAGCATGCAGAACTGGGACTACATGTCATGTCAAGGTGGGAGGGGAGGTTCTGGCCTTCACCCCATCCCCACATTGGCACCTCAGCATCAGAATAGAGCCCCTTGGTGGTAGACATCAGCAGCTTCCGGTCCACGCTGTCAAGAGCAAAGGTCAGGACTGCCCGGGCCTCCTAGGGATAAGAGGGAGAAGGCGGTGGGGAACCTGGGACCTTCCTCTCAGACAAAACCCAGTCCCAGGAAAGATTCCAGAACTTTGGCCTAAAGGCTTCACCTTTCCACAGCCCAGTGCTCAAGTATCAGCTGTAGCTTTTTGTCTACGCGGTACCCCACCCTGGGTAACGGCTCTCTCCGCCTCTCCTCTGTAATGGCTCCTCAAGCCCCTCAATCTGACCACAGCCTTTCTGCCCCATAGAGGGAGCCACAGTGCTGGTCATTTACCTGGTGCCTCTACCTTCCCTGCTCTCGGAGGCAGGGCCTGGAGGCCAGTAGACTATACTCTCCAGACTCCCTTGCCATTGGGTTCTACCAGTAATCTGGGGGGAGACCAGGAGAGCTGAGCAAAGCAAGCCTGGTCCTCATTCTGACCATGGCAATTGCCCAATTGTGAGGTGAGGTGGATTCTGCCCTTCCGCAGGCAGGAACGGCAGGACGTATTTTGTGCATTCAGAACCAAGTGCCACAATGTCTCCAATAGCACAGGGCAGGAGTCAGCACACAGGTTCAGCCTGAGGCCAGTGGTTTCAGGTACCACCCCTTCTTCCCATTCTACCCTTCCAACTCTTCCAACACTGTCTCTCCCACTCCTCTCCATTATATCCCACGGGTGTCTCATTTTCCTGACTGGTTATGACCAAGGTAGTACTGGGAAGAAAACGCCAGAGAATAACAGCTCTGGGATACTGCGAACTGGAGATGATAAGAGATCTCCGCCCTTCCCCTTTGCTTTTGAGCCTCTTAAGAGGGTAGCACAGCCAGGCATGGTGGTGCATGCCTGAAATGCCAGCACTCGGGAGGCTGAGGCAAGAGGATCGCTGCAAGTTCAAGGCCAGCCTGGGCTACAAAGTGAGCTCAAGGCCAGGCTGAACTACACAGTGAGACCGTCTCAAGAACGCACACACAAAAAAGAACAGCTTCGGGTCCACAGTGGGACCCTGTCTCAAAAAAAAGAAGAGAACAGAAAAAAGCAAGGACAAGAAATGAAGCAAGGAAATGGTGTTTGAAGTCCTGATTCTAGCTAGACTTTTGCTCTTTCAGAGTACAGGAATGAAAGCCAATACACCCCTTGTTTGGCTTGCGCAAGTCTGTGCTGGAGTTCTAGCACTTGCAGCTGAATGAACTCTGCTAAGGAGAGGACTGCCTGCCAAGTGGGGCTGAGGTGCGCGAGCCAAATGACTTGCAAAGGAACAAGGCCTGGAGGAAGACAGGGAGAGCCATCTGGCCACAGCCCTTCTGCCACTCTGAACTTTATACCTACCTTTTCTTGCTTGGCTGTGGGGTCCAGCACCAGGGTCCCATCAGAGTCCAGGGCACAGGTGACTCCACAGAAGAGAGCCCGCATGGGCACACCTGCATCCACCAATGCCATGCAGGCAGCATTCAGGCAACAGGCCAGGAGCTGAGCACCACGGGAGCAGTTAAGGAGTGCCTACTGGGGGCTGGCAGGCAGAGCACATCCACGCCTGTATCTCTCTCTGCTTGTGGCAGACATCACTAATTGATCACGGAACTGCAGAGTGGATAGGTAGCTCTGGGATCAAGGAACCCCAATTCCATATGTGACCTTGCCACCTCTTAGCTGTATAACCTTGAGTAAGTGACTTATTCTGAGTCTTATTGTCCTTATTGGTTAGCTTATTCTCCTTATTAGCCAACACTATGGGGGCCATAGTGTTAGCTAATAGACATATATTAAATTAGGTACCAAGCTTCTGCAAAACATGGTCAGAGAGAGCAAGGAGCCTCCCAAGGTCACATGGCAGGAGGCAGTGGTAATGCCAGGCCCGGCATGGGAATTGCTGTTAGCAGGCCGCCACTATACCAGGCAATGGCGCCATTACTGCTGCTGCCCCAGGGGGTTCACAGGCTGGGAATCAGTCAGCTGGCTGCCTCTGTTTCCTTACACCTTTCCCAGGTTTAGCAGAGTGGACAAAGGCTGTAGCTTTAGAACCTATCAGTTCCAGCTCTGCTACTGATCCTTTGTCACTTCCTCTGAGCTTCAGTTTCCACTTCTGTAAAATGGGACACAACAGGTCTTCTCACCTCAGTCATAAACTGCCTGCCACGTGCAGGGCCACACCCCAGCAACTCCCTCTGGAAATGTCCATCAAAACTTTACTCATCTAAACCACAGCCAGCTCCTGACCCAGGCTGAGCTCCTGAGCTCCTGAGCCAGCTTCTCTGCCTGCT